AGGTCACTACACAGTAGAACCCTTGTCAAACATTGGCCTCCTTTCATCATCTGCAGCATGGCTAATTTAAGAAAGGTGCTGACAGACTGACTTGCTTTTTCAAGCTTTCATCTAATGTCCAAATCACCCCTCTGCACTAGGTATTTTTGAATAAAAGCTCTGGTGTTCTCTACAACTGCAGGACTTGAAGCCACTGCACATGGAGAAATTCTTTCACTCTAAAGAAATAAAATTGCTTCTGTCCTTTGTACTTGAGACAGAGTTTAAGATCCTCCAGAGAGATTAAAAGCAAGAAGAATTACTGAGTATTCCAGGACAGCAAATCCCAGGAATGACACCTGAGGGAGGACAGTCTCCAGATAAACTTCAGTTGATTTCATAAACCTCCAGACCTAGTGAAAAATTAACTGAAAGAAATGAAGAAAGAAACAGAGAGAGGAAAGGAGAAAGAAAAGTCAAAACTTAACTCAAACTAAATCCAAAACAGGCAGCTAAGAGGAACTGAGAAGGTAGCCATGTCTAGCACTGTGAAACCAGGTAAACACTTGAGCAGGTAAGTTCACAGGATGGATACAAATACAGAAAATTATTAGAAGGATAAGAAATGCATATGCAACTAAGACACCAGGTGGAAACTCAAGACATCTATATTCTCAAGCTCTGTGTGACCTACAACATTTAAGATTCATTTCAGCTGCATAAGCATCAGGACTCCAGAGCCATCTGAGATGCTCAGCGGTATGCCACCTGGACTCCAGCTGCTGATCATGAAGTGTCTGGCTGTCTCTGGTCCTCAGGAATATCTGTCAGCCCTGTCCGAATCTTCTGGATTCCCTATCCAATTGGTACTCCAGTATGCAGTATCTTAACTGGTACTAGGTACCTACGTTTAAGCAACTAATTCATCTGTTAAACACTAGGTTAGTAGATATTTTAAGAACTAGTGCCCTTTATCTCAAATGTATAAGCAGCTTTAAATTCCACCCTGAAGTCACTCTATGCCTCAGTTTACCAACAGTGGAAAAAAAATAGAATTTAGAAAAATAGTTAGGCAATACTTACATCGTCAGGCAATACAAGCCATTTGAGTACTTGAAGGGGTACAGGTGCATGTCTGTAAGTTCACAGCAGCCATGCAAGTCTAGTGTCTTATGCCAGTTCAGGTATTAACTGTTATTAGTGAACAATATTTTGGAATGTCAAAAATTATAATAAAATGCTTCATATTTTTCTGTTAGGTCATGTGGGTTGCCTTGTCCCTATTTCTTTCATACAGGGTTTTATAAATCTTTTAAAGAGACATTATCTTCATTAAATTGCAATACTAAGCAAGTGATAAAATTTCAGAATATCTTAAATGATTAGAACAACCTATAAATATGCTGTCCTTAACCAGAACCAGTCCCCACTGGGCAGTGATTTGATTGAACTGCTTTTATCTCTGTGAATCCAGAATGGAGTCTTTGATGAAGCTCCAGAGTTGTATAAAGCTGCATGCAAGTATCTAGCAACCTCACACGCTTGTATATTTTCATCTGTTTCTCTGCAATTTAACTTCTTTTCTCAGCATACTAAGTTATGTAGGCCTGAGAGTCTGCATAAAGATTATACCTTGACCCAGAGATATCCACGGGACCCACGCATCAAAAAGATGTTCACCGATTCATTAGTTTCCTTATTTTTTATATCTAGCTTATGTACTGCAATTTATGACTGATCTAATTGTTTCTTGTGCTTTAGAATTAATTTGACTGCAAAACAGCCTTCATATTATGAAACTGCAATATCATCTGCATCTTCAAATATAGAATATCTCTGCACAAGGTCACTACAAATTTTTACATTTGAAGGACACTGCAGCCTATTACACAACAAATTATCAGTTAATAATGGTTGCTTATAAATATATATTCAGGTATGATTCTACTCCTATAAGCACACATGAACCAAGTCTTGGGATTGAATCTGTCTTGGGCCTACTAAATATCATGCAAGTGTCATTCCTGCACATCACTAATAGTAGGTAGGAATTGCACTTGCTATGTGCGCAAATATGTGTAGAAATAGTTTGTGAAAACACAACTTACTTTTTAATACTGTGTTTCAACATATTTTTAAAACATATATACTGATGAACAATGCAAAAATATTCATACTGCGAAGTTAAAGAAACAGGCTGTTTCTTACTATAAAGGCCACACACTTCAGTTAACAAACAAATCTTCCTATCCTGTTTCAAAGTACAGCCTAGTGAATAATTCTCCTAATGCCCAAGGGGGACTAAACACAAGGAGTTAATTTCTATGATCTAATGAATGACTAATCATGAAATCTTTTTATCTGAAAACCACCTTTTCATAAGAATGCTAATTTAATTAATAGTATTTTGCTTTGAGAGTAGTATAAATAGGATATATTTGTTCTCATATGTATATTATTCCATGGACATTAATTATAACACTGTGATATTCCCTCTCCTATTCTGAACATCTAGTAAGACCTGTACTACTAAATCATACTTAATAGGAGTGTGATGGTTGTTGCTTAGGCAACAGAATGAATAAATGCAGGTCAGAATGTGCTTCCAGAAAAACAAAAGCAGGAATATGGTACAGAATATAGAAGAAATATGTCTAAATGATTTTTACTGCATTGAAGTATTAGAGTTCTTCAATGCAAAGTAGCTAACCTATCTGAAACAGTTTAATAAGATTGTAAAATATAACTTAATATGTAAATCACTTTAATAAAGGTAAAGCAGTTTTCTCATATTAAGGAAGACTGCAACACATTTAAGTTTGGAGTAATCTTAATTTTTCTCCTAGCATAGCAGGTCTTTCTTCTCTCATTTTCCTATATATTTTCCAAGTTTAATTTTCTCTTCAACATTTTGGTTAGAATGGAAAATACTTCTAAAAAACACTTACTTAAATTTTCAGAAGAGGCTTTCCTTGCATAATACTGTTATATTCAAAAGAACATTATTAAAAAAATTGATGTTTTCTGATAATTTTTATTTCTAATAAAATATGAGAACTATTCAAATTCTGGTACAAACAAAACTTGAAATACATAACAGTATGATGAACAGCATGAAATCAATAAATCAGGAATTATTACGTTACTGAAAATTTTTTATTAGTAGGCAGTTTTCCAGCTTTTTACTTAATCATTGGATGTAAGAGTCTAACCTTCCAGTCACGTGTATACTACCCCAACTAATATTAAAAGTAATTCTGTATTTTACCTGCACTAAATTTTTGAAAACAAACCACTTCAGAAAAGGCTTAAAATAAAATGACCAGAAAGCATTAGCTAACACATATGTATGCAGGCATAACTAAATCTGTCTCATACCTGAAAAGTTTGATCTGGGTATTAAGTAATAGATTCTCATATATAATTTGTATGTTTACATAAGTATGCTAATAAGAGACATAGGAAACGAAAGTCTTATCAATTCCCCCAGAACATGGTTCAGCCTCCTCCAGAGCCAGGAGACAACTGGAGAGCCCTTCAAGGCAGTTTATTTGGCTCCTCTGGTGCTCAGCATTTACCTGTAGTAGGCGTACCCCTCTTCATCTCTTATGCCACCTACAGACTCTTGTGAACGAATTTCTTCTGTAATCTTTTTAAGACTAAATGATCATCTACTTATGTAACTTATGCTACAACATATATAAGAATCTGTAGTTCCAATTTGGGAAACTGCAGCTTGAAACGCATTTTGGACTTTTTCATTTTTTATATTGCTGAGCTGACAGCACACCCTTGCAGCTTTGTTTTCAAGACTATCTAAAGGTGAAGATTCTATTGACTTTTACTGATATAAGCAGAATATCACATGGCAGCCATGTAAAAATAGGCAGAAACCTCTACGCTATTATAATGTGGAAATGGCAGAGATCTGTGTCTTAATTTTCCAATCAGTAATCCAAAGGCACATAATGATGTTGGCCAAAGAAATTAATAGGAAAAACACAACTCATGATGATTTTACAGTCGTAATATTCACTCTGTTTCACTTCTGTTTCTTATATGCCAGATATAAGTTATGCAGAGTTAAAACTGCTCCAAGATATACATGGTTACTAAAGATATCTTAAAAGAGGGCAGACTAATAATATTTTAAGATCTGATACTTTATAAGAAATGGAGTCAGGATTTTTGCAAGAGGTTCAAGTAATGGGAATACTGAAGCAGGTGGAAAAGTGGTTATGTAACAACCTTACAAGTAAGCTTCTCTCTTTACTGTCAATATTCATTTCAATGGGAAGTTTGTGCATGACAGGTCTCTGTTACTTTACACCACATGGTAATACTGTATGTACTGAAGTACATAAAATTTGATTTCATTCATACATTCCTGATAAATGTCTAGCTTTAAAACATGAAAATGGAGCTATTAAAAGGAATGCATTACTTTTCCATCCAGGGCATAAGTTTCAACAAGTGAATCCCATAGCCTGATTTTTGAAGATGAAAAAACATTTAGCTAAGACATCAAGAAACACTTGCATAGATAGCACACTTCATTAAATATTTTTCTGTTATTAAACTACCTCTCAATGTAAGAATAGCATTGCATGTTATTTTATTATTCTTACAATGATCTTAATGTTTAAAGAAAAGTAATAATGTGAAGTATTGCAGCTAGGGGTGTTTACAGCTTTTACATGCTGTGAAAATCCTGCAATAGATTAAAGAACTGTGCATTTTTGTTTTTTAATCTGAAAATTATTGAGGGGGAGAAAAAACCTTAATATGCAGGGTTTTTTACAATATTTCTGGCTAGAATATTTTGTAACATGTACAATTTGGAAGTTTATACAAGGACAGTATATATATTACTAATTTAGCTAGACATAGAAAAGTGAAACACTATACAGATCTTCCTAGTGCAATGCAGAATTACTCTAAGGTTTTTATGAGCACATAAGAGACAGACAAAAAAGGCAGCTACAGTGTATATACACAGCTATGCACAGACAATTTCTTACCATAAATTGCACATTGTCAAATCCATTAGCCAGCAAGTGGTTTTCATACTGAGGTAGCCCAATATTTTCCAACCATTGTCCCACTGTCTGGACAGGGCATCGGGGTCCTGTAGGAGGGTGAAGAGGGAGGCGTTTAAGCAATGAATAACCATCCACTGGATAATAGCGGTAGTCCTGGGCTGAGAGGTGGCATTGCCACATCGTGTTCCTGGAAAAGTTGGTATCAAAGGAGCCCGCCAGCTTGACAGATTAATGTTTTCAGCAAGCAGAAAAGTCAGAAGTAAAACATAGTTTACAGGGCAGTATATAGCATAAGATCTGATCCTAGCTCTACATTTCTTGGTTATTAATCTTTACTACAGATCAGTACGTCATACAGCAGGAAAATTAAAAAAAAAAAAAAAAGAAGAAGGCACATCAAGCTGTCAGCGAAGCTGTTCTCCGTTATATGTGATTGTTGGAATACTCCACAATGAGCAATGCACTGCCAGCAGCAAGAATTCTTTTTATCAAGTACTCCTACACTCATCAGTATGCAGCTCCATGCTTCTTGCTCCCCCTCGCTCGCTCCCCTTCATTACCCAGCCTAGGCTACACCTCGCATTTTCAATAATAGCCATCAGATAAGGCAGAATTTTTTTTGTCTGCAAGCTGTAAGCCTGCTGCTGCTGCTTCCTCCTACACACCCATCCAAGCGTCAATCTTGAATGATGAGAGCAGTCAAAACAAATGCAGAAAATAGCGAGACTCAAAAGCAACCTAGAGCACTTAAATCTGAATAGAATCTTCACAGCAGTTACGCTTTACATATCTGTTTGTTGTAGATTTTTACGTTTCACAAAACATTAAGAAATGCAATACATAAATCATAGCCTATGGTGTGGTTTACTATGCCTTCCCCTTCCCCCTTTAACACAAGATAGGTAGTGGTCTCCTTTTCTGCTTATATAATAGCAAACCCCTTTAATGAATCGATAATGAATACATTTCACAGCTTCTCTCCTGTAGTACAGCAAAAGACATAAACGGCACAACAATTTCAGTCAAAGTAATTAGATTATCTGCATGATTTCTTCAACCGTAAAATATCATAAGACAAAAAAACCTTCAAGCCAACATATAATAATTCAATTTGAAAAGGTCATTTCAAATGAATAATGAGAATATTTTACTAAATAAAATTTTAAGTTTATAGAATTTTTGTACAAAAATGTGAATGCAGGCAGACATAAGATTTGCATGATTTCTAGGGAGAAAGTATATTTTATCAACTATAATAGGAAAAAATTTAAAATTAAAGTGAAGTTCATTTCTGCACAAGAAGCCAAATACCTCACGATGTATTCTCCATCAATGCTCCATTTTTGAGACAGTTTCTCTAAGGATGGAAATATTTTACGCCTTTGTTCTAAGGGGAATGTTTACTAAACTTTTGTTTTTCATAACAGGATTAAAGGACTTGGAAAAAAAAAGGCAGAAAATTTATATATACAGGGTCCATTGTGAATCTCAAGCAATGATCATCTCTAAGGGGAATTTAATTCCAGGCATAAGGAAATTATAGATATCTGTCAAGGACATCATTTGGGATTGATGATACCATGGCAGAACTGTTCTACTGAAATCTAAACGTACAGTCTGACTGACATGTTACAGTGCAAAGTCTTTGCAAGTGACATGCAGAGGGTCCCTAAGCAGTCGCAGAACAGACTTCAAACTTAGCTGGATATTTAAAATTAACAATATTCAAAGAGTTTCAACTCCAACATGACTAGTGTTTGAACTAAAACTGGATGACCTTTCACTCCGGTATTGCTGCTTGGATTTGTGAAACATCTCTGAAGTTCATAATGATTTTGTAGAATAATTTTAGTTGAGCCATAGAAGATCTTTCATGAGGTTGGAAAGTTGCCTGAAACAGATCTGTACGTGATCTTACATTACTCCAGTTCTTACTGATTTGCTACATTACTACATGAAATGTGAAAGGTTCATTAGGCCTGTCAAAAAATGCAGAAGGCTTCTCCAGCACATGTAAACCTGTAGTTGCTGAAGGAGCATTTAGGAGTTTTCTCAAGTATTTAATAACATTATCATGTGAATATACGCAATATAGACCATGTATCTTTGGTAAAAGTACAGTGTGCACAAATAGCATAAAGTATTTCAAAGAGATTAATGTATAATTCATTTTTTAGAGAAAGTAGCTATACCAAATTGATAGGAATCTAGGTCTCATGGAGATACAAATGCATTTGTTCACATCTGTCTGTAAATCTTGCCTATTTTTAAGAGTTTTTTCCACTATGAATCAATATCTTTGTACACAGATGGAGCATAATCCCTTCAGGGTTGTGCCCAGTATATAGTGAGGCTGTAAGGAGGATGGTAGACTATGTTGTGATGAAATACAGTGGACTTCCCTTGAGTAAGCAAATTTGAAAGGCTGGGCAAGCTCTTCAGAGAACAAATTGAGAACAAAATTATCTTAAATTGAGAATTAAATCCTCGTTGAATTTTTCTTAGTTGGCTGAGAAATCCCGAATTTCTTTGAAAAGGATGCCTGAATTTGTCTTCCTCTTTCACCCATAAGCAGAAGAATTGATATTGAAAAGAAACCCAATGAAGCAAAATCTCACTCTTTGAAAGAATTATGCATGACAGGCACTTTATTTCCCCTACATGCATAGACACAAATGTCTCTGCATCTTGTGTTCCCCACCAACAAAAATGTTCTGCCTACAATAAGACACAGCCAATAATCAATATACCAGTTTCATGGTCAAACTGCTTCTTCCTTACTTTACTATAAACAGCATGGAAGTTATGCTGCCAGTGATGCAAAGTGCTTGGCTCAATGCCTAGCAACAGTGTAGGCAAAATTCAGTTTTTGAGTGGCTCCCCAGACACATTTCCTCATATAGCTGTCGGTACTGTTTCTCTCTATCTCCATGGCCCCACCACTGGATTATTATAGCACTGCTGGTCCCGCTGCATACTCTCCTCCAATTCTGTCCTCTGCCAGTGTAACTACATGTCTGAACTCATCAAGACAACATCAGATTGCTCACCAAGGGGAAAGAAAACAAGGAGAAACAGTCGGCTTGTCCTCATCCTTGACTACTGTCTCATTGCTAAAGTATCCTGTTATCTGCAAGACTTTCCCCCTCCTTCTACCAAAGGTAGTAGTAAAGCAAAGGCAAAGGAGGGCACAGAGCCTTAGATTAGATTTCACCATGGGAACATGCAGCTCCTTAGATCCCCTTGTTCTTTGCCAGTTCAGGAGACTTAGGGAGGCTGCTTGGACAGTTTTTCTGAGCCAGTTCAAGTAGAAACTGGAGCAGGTGATGTTTGAGACTAGAAGGTTATCTCTTCATTTTGCTAGTCTATGATTCAGCGTCAGACCCACCAGTGTGCTGCTGCAGGCAGTGCCTACTTTGGCTATGCCCAAAGCTGGTCCTGATACAGCTGTGGAGGCTGTATAAGATATTCTTACCTGCAACATATTCACATACTACTGTGCTTTCCTATGATTTCAAGGAACATAAATACCATGATAATCCTTCTGTGATACCAATACCACGATCAAAAAAAAAGTACCTATTCTTGCATGGGAAAACTCAATAAGTCAGAGATAGCAATACTTGGTTCTTGCTTCTCCAAGGCAAAACAAGTAGCACATAGAAGTAATGTCTCCAAGAAAAATGCCATCTGGTATGCTATACGGTAATTTCTACAAGATGTCTCATTCCCAGTGAGACTCAGAATATCTTTATTGTGGGGTTTGGAAATGACTGAATCTCTGACATCAAGAAGCACATGATTTCAAACATGTTGTAAGGCAGATTTGCTCTAAATGAACAGGAATTTAAGATCTCTATTTTATTGTCTCTACTGTTAATACTGTGGATTTTTCTTCCTCATTTTTTCTTCATTAGTTTTCAAGTGAGGAAAAGAAAGAAATGCAGTGGGGTTTTTTGTTGTTGTTTTTTTTGTGGTTTTTTTTTTTTTTTTTTTTTTGTAGAGGAGTTGTTCCCCAGTCATCATGAATAAATTATTATAAACCATTTTCTTAGGTAGGTCAATACGTGTCAAACATTGCTAAACACTTCTGGTGTTAAGGAGTCAAACATGGGAGAATTTTCGTAGCTACTGACCAATACATTTCTGAGTGGAGACTATAGCACAATATGAAAAGAATGAATCTTTTAAGTATGTTGGCAGCAAGTTTAGCAGAGCTGAAAAATTTGATGCCAGTATAAGTATTATAAACTTTTTTTCTTTAATTAAAGCTTTCAGCCTTGTCCAGCACTAAATGGAATATAATTTTCCTCTCTGTATTTATGATTTCAGCCAGATAAAATATTATCTCAACACTGGGGCAGAACTTGGGCAGCAGAGTTAGAATGAGTGCACATTCTAGTGAATAAACTAATCTAAACATGTTTTCCTGGAAAGGTGATAAGAATAGCTAGGAACAGGACGTTGTATGAGAAAAACTGTCTAACATCTAGCAGACCAATATAATTAAAGAAAGTTTATTATGGAAGTGTATGCAAGGTTCTGCTTTATCTTATGCATTTCAATTATATTGTTAGGCTACTCAGAATGCTTAGATTTAAAATTATCTTTTATATAAAACTCTGAAAAACCTGGATGCCTTACACAAGATCTGTAATTTCTGTCAGCAGCCTAGCTCTTTGGATGATGATGCCACTTTGTATAATCATGTTTAGTGATGCTGAATATGCGCCTTAAAGTACTTTTAGAGACAATTTTCATGGCATATACAAAACCAAACCAAAATCAATAGAAACAGCGTGAATTTAAATAATGCTATCCAGTACCTATAATCTAAAGGTTACTTTCTGTTGCTTATATGTAGGCCCAGAACACACAAAAATAATTCTCAGACCACAGTTAATGCAAGCTAATGGAACAACCTTCATTGACTAGGAAAGTCAGTCCCATGGTTCTGTTCTGATTTTTATATCAATATTTACCATAACTCTGTGTCCTGGGTTCAGCTGTAAGAGTTATTTTTCTCCTTCCTAGTAGCTGGTGCAGTGCTGTATTTCAGCTTTAGTCTGAGAACAATGCTGATAACACACCAATGTTATAGTTGTTGTTAAGTTGTGCTTACCCCTATCAAGGACTTTTCAATCTCATGCACTGCCAGTGAGAAGGGCACAAGAAGCCGG